CTCCAGCCTCTAATAGTCCACAGTGTCTATTGTTCCCATATTTATGTCCATGTGTTGTTTAGCTTCCATTTATAACTGAGAACATGCAATATTTGATTTTGTTTTCCTGTGTTAATTTGCTTAGAATTATGACCTTTGGCTCCATCTCTATTGCTGCAAAGAATATGATTTCATTCTTTTCATGGCTGCATAGTATTCAATGGTGTATATATGTACCACTTTTTAAAATCCAATCTACCATTGATGGACACCTGGATTAATTCTACTCTTTCATGGAGTAGATTGCCAGCACTGTTTTTGTGGAATCTGAGAGGGGATATTTTGGATGGTTTGGAGCCTATGGTGACAAAGGAAATATCCTCAGATAAAAACTGGAAACAAGCTTTCTGAGAAACTGTTTTGTGACATGTGAATTCTTCTCACAGAGTCACACCACTCTTTCACTGAGCAGTTTGCTAACATTGATTTCGCAGAATCTGCAGTGGGATATTCTGGAGCGCATTGAGGAGTATAGTGAAAATGGAAATATCATCTGATGAAAAGTAGAAAGAAGCTTTCTCAGAAACTGCTTTGTGAGTGTGAATTCATCTCACAGAGTTACATCACTCTTTCATGGAGCAGTTTGCTAGCACTGTTTTTTGTGGAATCTGAGAAGAGGTATTTTGGATCACTTTGAAGCCTATGGTGACAAAGGCAATGTAATAAGATAAAGCTAGAAAGAAGTTTTCTGAGAAACTGCTTTATACTGTATGAATTCATCCCTCAGAGTTACACCTTTCTTTTCATGGAGCAGTTTCCTAACACTGTTGTTGTGGAATCTGCAATGGAATATTGCAAGCGCGTTGAGTGCTATGGTGTAAAACGAAATATACTCAGATAAAAACTGGAGAGAAGTCTTCAGAGAAACTGTTTTGTGAGGCATAAATTAATCTCACAGGGTTACACCACTCTTCTATTGAGCAGTTTGCTAACACTGTTTTCGTGGAATCTGCAGTGGGATATTTGGGAAGGCATTGAGGACTATGTTGAAAAAGGAAACATCTTCGGATACAAACTAGAAACAAGCTTTCTGAGAAAGTGCTTTGTGCTGTATGAATTCATCTCAGAGAGTTACATGGCTCTTTCATGGAGCAGTTTGTTAGCACTGTTCTTGTGGAATATGTGAAGGGATGTTTTGGATCGCTTTGAAGCCTATAGTGACAAAGGAAATAACCTCAGATGAAAACTAGAAAGAAACTGTCTGAGAGACAGCTTTGTGAAGTGTGAATTTATCTCACAGAGTTACATAGTGGTTTTCATTGAGGAGTTGACTAACATGTGTTTGCGGAATCTGTGATGAAATATACGGGAGCACATTGAGGCCTGTGTTTAAGTAGGAAATATCCTCAGATAAAAAAACAGGAAAGAAGCTTTCTGAGAAACTGCTTTGTGATGTGTGAATTCATCTCACAAAGTGAAACCATATTTCATGGAACAGTTTACTAACACTGTTTTTGTTTAATCTGCAATGGGATATTGCGAGCTCATTGAGTACTATGGTGAAAAAGGAAATATCATCGGATAAAAACTGGAGAGAAGACTTTGGAGAAACTGCTGTGTGATGTGTAAATTCATCTCAGAGAGTTACACCTCTCTTTCATTGAGCAGTCTGCTAACACTATTTTAGTGGAATCTGCAATGGGATATTTGGCAGGGCATTGAGGCCAATGGTGAAAAGGGAAATGTCCTGATAAAAATTTGAAAGAAGCTTTCTGAGAAACTGCTTTGTGCTGTGTGAATTCATCTCGCAAAGTTACATCAATCTTTCATGGAGCCGTTCGCTAGCACAGTTTTTGTGGAATCTGAGAAGGGACATTTCTCATCGCTTTGAATCCAATTTTGACAAAGGAAATATCCTCAGATAAAAACTGGAAACAAGCTTTCTGAGAAACTGCTTTGTGATGTAGGATTTCATCACACAGAGTTACATCACTCTTTCATGGAGCCGTGTGCTAGCACTTCTTGTGGAATCTGAGAAAGGATATTTTTGATTATTTTGAGGGCCATGGTGACAAAGGAAATATCCTCAGATAAAAACTAGAAAAGAGCTTTCTGAGATACGGCTTTGTGATGTGTGAATTCATCTCACAGAGCTACACCATTCTTTTACTGGAGGAGTTTGTTAGCACTGCTTCTGTGGAATCTGAGAAGGGATACTTTGGATTGCATTGAAGCCCATGGTGAAAAAGGAAATAGCATCAGATAAAAACTAGAGAGAAACTTTCTGAGAAACTGCTTTGTGATGTGCGAATTCATGTCACAGAGTTACACTACTCTTTCATGGAGCAGATTGCCAGCACTGTTTTTGTGGAATCTGAGAGGGGATATATTTTGGATGACTTGGAGCCTATGGTGACAAAGGAAATATCCTCAGATAAAAACTAGAAACAAGTTTTCTGAGAAACTGCTTTGTGATGTGTGAATTCTTCTCACAGAGTCACACCACTCTTTCACTGAGCAGTTTGCTAACATTGATTTTGCAGAATCTACAGTGGGATATTCTGGAGCACATTGAGGAGTATGGTGAAAATGGAAATATCATCTGATGAAAAGTAGAAAGAAGCTTTCTCAGAAACTGCTTTGTGAGTGTGAATTCATCTCACAGAGTTACATCACTCTTTCATAGAGCAGTTTGCTAGCACTTTTTTTGTGGAATCTGAGAAGGGATATTTTGGATCACTTTGAAGCCTAAGGTGACAAAGGCACTATAATCAGATAAAGCTAGAAGAAAGCTTTCTGAGAAACGACTTCGTGCTGTGTCAATTCATCTCTGAGTTACACCTTTCTTTTCATAGAGCGGTTTCCTAACACTGTTGTCATGGAATCTGCAATGGGATATTGTGAGCGCATTGAGTACTATAGTGAAAAAGGAATTAATCTCAGATAAAAACTGGAGAGAAGCCTTTGGAAAAACTGTTTGTGAGATGTAAATTCATCTCACAGAGTGACACCACTCTTTTATTGAGCAGTTTGCTGTTTTTGCGGAATCTGCAGTGGGATATTTGGGAGGGCATTGGGACTATGTTGAAAAAGGAAATTTCCTCAGATACAAACTAGAAACAAGCTTTCTGAGAAACTGCTTTGTGCTGTGTGAATTCATCTCACGGAGTTACACCACTCTTTCATGGAGCAGTTTGCTAGCACTGTTCTTGTGCAATATGTGAGGGGATATTTTGGATTGCTTTGAAGCCTATAGTGACAAAGGAAATATCCTCAGATAAAAACTAGAAAAAAATTCCAGAACAAAAGTGTGAAATGTGTTTCCATTAGTTTGTGTTATCTGTGATTTATTTCATCAAAGTTTTTTAGTTCTCCTTGTAGAGATCTTTTACTTCCTTGGTTAAATGTATTTCTATATATGTTAGTTTTGTGTGGCTATTTTAAATGGATTTGAATTCTTGATTTGGTTCTCAGCTTGAAGAATACTGGTATATAGAAATGCTACTGATCTTTGTATGTTGATTTTGTGACACTGACTTTCCTGTAATCAAATCCCATAAGTAGAAAAAATTTCTAATACAACTCAGGAAAACATCATATCATAAAGTATCTTCCCTCCCTTCAGCAGAATCATGACATATCTTGGGAAGCAATTCCACACCATGAAATTGGACAGAATCTGGGAATATACAAACCCCAATACACATACCACTATACTTCCAAAGCAATTCTTTAGGCCTGCATTATAGCCAAGTCACAGGAATATTTTTTCTTTAAGATTAGTAGCACCATATTAGAACTCATTGCATTGAAATGAGCATCAAAGTAACTTAAGCCATGGCACTGCTCTGGATATGGCACTGCCCGAATCTGACAAACCCAATCACTCAATATATTCCATCCATGGCCCAAAACCTACCACAGAATACACCCTGTAGCAGCAAAGTTTCTAATCAAGTCCTAGTCTCATTTGCACACACCCAAGCACCCCACAGTTCTGTTATGTTGCAGATAGAATCGCACAGGGCCAGTTACAACCCAGACTCAACCACAAGGCACACCAGACAGACTCAACTATGACAGTAAACTAGCCTGCTGCCAACTTAAATATATTACTGTCCATCAGTATACCAGGGAAACTATTACAGCATTAATGCAAACTAGAATCTCCCCAGTCTGAGGCAAGTATCTGACCTCAGTATCTTTTAAAAAGATAGAATCAATTACATTGCCACTATCTAGGTGGTATTATGAAGCGATTGTCCATTTATATAATGCAAAATGGAGAAGACAGAAAAGAAGATCATAAATCATAAAAGGCTCCACAAAGTATCTGAGAGCATCCAGTGTTTTCTATTCAGGAAAGGAAACATAACATAACATAGTGAGTGAAGGGCCTTTGAAGTTCTAAGAGGGAGCATTGTTTTTCTGGAATTATGCAATAGTTACCTTATGTGTCTAAATTTTAAAATTTTATTGATTATCTCAAATCCAAACACCTGCTAACCAATCCTCCAAATTTACTGAGGCTCCTCTCACATAGAATATTCTTAATTTCTCAGATGTACTTTGCAAGAATGTATCATTCCTCTTATCATTTCCTCCTCAATCTCAGTCCAGTGATATTTTACACCCACACACACACACACTTCATCTTGGCTGCTCTTTACATCCTGATTAACAAGTATAATTAGCAATAAGTATATGCTAATTTAATACCATATGGAAGTTTTTCTTAGAGACTGAAGGGATGAAAAACATGGGAAGTGCAGGATTGTTATATTTTGGAAACTTTCTGCATGGTTTTCTGTGTAAGTGGAGCAAATATTTGAAAGTGAGAGTGTCTTTTTAACTATATTTCATATTCCCTCTTTAGGTCTCCTATGCTGTATTATGGAGTTAAAGAATGGATTTTCTGTTTCTCCAAGAAATAGACACCATACTGTGAAAGAAGTTATCGTTTCTCACTGGAAGCAAGAAAACTCATGCAAGAAATGTGTCTGTAGGGAATTGCCACCAATATGCTTCATCTAAACAACACACGGTTTCACCCTTCCACCTTCCTCCTAGTGGGGGTCCCAGGGCTGGAAGGATGTGCATGTATGGATTGGCTTCCCCTTCTTTGCAGTGTATCTAATAGCCCTTCTAGGGAACATCACTATCTTGTTTGTGATACAGACTGAACAGAGCCTCCACCAACCCATGTTTTACTTCCTAGCCATGTTGGCCTGCACTGAACTGGGCTTGTCTCCAACAACCATTCCCAAGATGCTGGGAATTTTCTGGTTTAATCTTGGAGAGATTGTGTTTGGTGCCTGCATCACACAGATGTATACCATTCATATATGCACTGGCCTGGAGTCTGTAGTACTGACAGTCATGGCCATAGATCATTATATTGCCATCTGCAACCCCCTGAGATATAGCATGATCCTTACTAACAAGGTAATAGCCATTCTGGTCATAGTCATCATTGTCAGGACTTTGGTGTTTGTGACTCCATTCTTATTTCTCATCCTGAGATTGCCTTTCTGTGGTGTCCGGATTATCCTTCATACCTATTGTGAACACATGGGCTTGGCAAAGTTAGCTTGTGCCAGTATTAGAGTTAATGTTATATATGAATTGATTGCCTTCTCAGTGGGATGCATTGACCTTTCTGTGATTGGATTTTCCTGTGTCCAAATCCTCTGAGCTGTCTTCCATCTCCCATCCTGGCATGCCCGGCTTAAGGCACTCAGCACATGTAGCTCTCACGTCTGTGTTATGTTGGCTTTCTACCTGCCAGTCCTCTTTTCCTTCATGATACACTGCTTTGGCCACAACATCCCTCATTACATCCACATTCTTCTGGCCAATATATATGTGGTTTTTCCTCCTGCTCTTAACCCTGTTATCTATGGGGTCAAGACAAAACATAGGATACTTAATCCTAAAAGCTTTTGGCATTTTGCCCCCAAGTGGATCTTCCACAACAATTCAGTTAGAAGATAATGAAGTCATAACAAAATAAACACTGGAAACTTTTTTTTTTACTACTTCTATTGCAGCCCCACATGAGCCAATAGCATTATATCCCCTACAACGTCGCGTGATTTCAGTACGGTCCATTGGAAGGTATAGCTCAAAGATTCCAAAACAATCTCTCTGTTTCACCCATTAAAAGTACAAAAAATACCCACATTTAAACCCCACGATACTACAAAATGCTTAAAGAGAGACAAAGGTTTTGTAAAAGTTATTGCCCAGTAATTGTAGATTCTCTCTATTTAATATCCAAAGCTGAAGTTCATGATGATTAAAATGATGTGGTATTTCATCAAAACCAAGCAGGATACAGCGACAAGAGAAATTAACTGGGAGTCATAAGATCTAGATTTAAATACAGATTATGGCCTTACCTAAAATTTTGACGTGAGAATTTCACTTAGACTCTTTGAGTTCACAGTACTAAACTCATACTGATTTATAACATTTTATGAGCAGGGATACTGAAGCTTAAAGGGAATGTTGTGAAAACCTGTGAAGCTTGTAAAGCATTAAAAGATTTGGAAACAAATACAGTGAGTGCTTACCAAACATAATTATAGTGTAACTGTTATTTCTAATGTATGCAGATTTCATTTACTAATCCAGCTCCAGTATACAATCCCTGGTTTGAGGTCAGCTCTCCAGATCCAGATTATTCCAATGCATGTGGCTCTTCATGTACTTCTCAGTTTTTACCTTCATGAAAGAGACTTTCAGTCAGGAGACTATAAAGCCTGAAGAGTTAACAGGGATCTATCTTGGGCTTAAGGACTCAGAGAAATCCCATCCTTCACAGTCTTTGCTAGAGTGGGTTTTAGGGCAGACTGTAATAGTGTGGCTGCTGAAATAATATGAAGTCATTCTTAATAAGATATAGAAGATAAATAGGACCATAAAAACCCTAGAGGAAAACCTAGGTAGTACCATTCAGGACATAGACATGGGCAAAGACTTCATGTCTAAAACACCAAAAGCAACGGCAGCAAAAGCCAAAATTGACAAATGGGATCTCATTAAACTAAAGAGCTTCTGCACAGCAAAAGAAACTACTATCAGAGTGAACAGGCAACCTACAGAATGGGAGAAAATTTTTGCCATCTACTCATCTGACAAAGGGCTAATATCCAGAACCTACAAAGAACTCAAACAAATTTACAAGAAAAAAAACAAACAACCCCATCCAAAAGTGGGCAAAGGATATGAAGAGACATTTCTCAAAAGAAGACATTCATACAGCCAACAGACACATGAAAAAATGCTCATCATCACTGGCCATCAGAGAAATGCAAATCAAAACCACAATGAGATACCATCTCACACCAGTTAGAATGGCAATCATTAAAAAGTCTGGAAACAACAGGTGCTGGAGAGGATGTGGAGAAATAGGAACACTTTTACACTGTTGGTGGGATTGTAAAATAGTTCAACCATTATGGAAAACAGTATGGCGATTCCCCAAGGATCTAGAACTAGATGTACCATATGACTCAGCCATCCCATTACTGGGTATATACCCAAAGGATTATAAATCATGCTGCTATAAAGACACATGCACACGTATGTTTATTGTGGCACTATTCACAATAGCAAAGACTTGGAATCAACCCAAATGTCCATCAGTGACAGACTGGATTAAGAAAATGTGGCACATATACACCATGGAATACTATGCAGCCATAAAAAAGGATGAGTTTGTGTCCTTTGTAGGGACATGGATGCAGCTGGAAACCATCATTCTTAGCAACCTATCACAAGAACAGAAAACCAACCACCGCATGTTCTCACTCATAGGTGGGAACTGAACAATGAGATCACTTGGACTCGGGAAGGGGAACATCACACACCGGGGCCTATCATGGGGAGGGGGGAGGGGGGAGGGATTGCATTGGGAGTTATACCTGATGTAAATGACGAGTTGATGGGTGCAGCACAGCAACATGGCACAAGTATACATATGTAACAAACCTGCACGTTATGCACATGTACCCTAGAACTTAAAGTATAATAAATAAATAAATAAATAAATAATAAAAAATAAAAGAAGATAAATAGGACAATTTATTTATTTGAGTATTCTAGGAGCTGCAAAAATGTGAAGCTGGCTTCTAATTGGAAATGGAGCCCTGATTGAAACTCAAGGTAGAGTGAGTAGGAATGTACAGAGAATAGTGCAAAAGTAATAACAATAAATGGCAGTATAAATTGACAAGTGGAAGTAAACTGAAGTGATACGTCATATAAATATATAAAGAAAAAGAAATGAAGTAATTATTTTCTAAGTAGATATTTTGAAATTGACAAAGAAATAAAGAAAAACTAAACAGATAATTTAACAAGGAATAAAGATGAGAAAAAAATCATTATGGATTATCTTCTAAGTAAAATACCACTTTTCAATTATAGTTTATTTAATGTGTTATTATTTCATATTTTAATTATGAAAATCTCATTTTAGAGTCTGAATATTTACATTTGTATATTTAAAGGCTCTAATATGTTCAATTTTGTTCACTGTACCCAAAATATGTTTAACCACCAGACCACTTAATTTTGGTGTCATACGTTAAGAATTTCTACTATTTAAGAGTTTTCCTGTATCATTTCTGAGACTTTGTTAAATGTTGCTTGCTCCAGAAAGTGAGTAATCTGAATGGAAATGAATAATAGAAAACCGTAATTTCTAAGGAGCATAGAAGCTAATACAGAAGAGAAAACCCCATTCATCACCAAGTGCATGTTACAGGGACTGTAACATGGGAGCCAGGAGCATGTTTGAAAATAGCACTGTGTGCACATAGAATTCCCAAGAAGGAAAGGTGTCTAGGGAGTTTATCAAGCTCTTGAGTTTTTTTAAACTCATTTTGTACAAAGCCATCAATACTGCGAGTCTTTTTTTAAACTCATTTTGTACAAAGCCATCAATACTGCGAGTCTTGGAGCAGTTCGGCTGGGCTATGACAAATGTTATGGAAAGCATTGAATATTGGTCATCTTGGCTGAGTCCACATCTGTGAAACATTGGCATGTTTCAAGCCAATCTAAAAGGATTCAACTTTGCTTATTATTTCAAAATTCCAAGGCTGCTGAAAGGTAGGTCTTTACACACAGTCACTCTATTTGATAGCTGAATATTTTCATCAGGGGCCACTGATGAAAATGTTGACCTCCACTAACCTAAGTCTGTCCATTATTACTATCTCCAAGATGCTTAGTATCTTCCAGTTCAACTTCAGAGAAATAGTTTTTGGTGCCTTCCTTGTTTACATACAGATGCTTACGATTTATCTATGCACTAGCGTGGAATTTGGGGTACTAACTATCCTGGCCATAGACCACTATGTTGTATTTCACAGTCCACTGAGATATACCATGATTCTCACGAACAAGGTGGTAGCCATCCTATGAAGTCATGATAATGAGATCTTTAATCTTCATCATCCCTTTTGAGTTTCTCATCTTGCTATTGTCATTCTGTGCTGCCCATATCATCCCCCACGTGAACTGTGAGCACATGGGCATTGCCCATCTTTCCCATGCCAGTATCAGAGCCAATAATTTGTTTGGAGTGGTTGCCTTCTTGTGGGATTTATTGATCTTAATGCAATTGGTTCCTCCTATGTAAAGAAACTACACAGTGTTTCACTTACCACCATGGACTGGCCAGTTCGAGGCTCTCAGTACCTGTGGTTCCCATGTCTGTCATGCTCATCTTCTACATCCCAGTATTTTTTTTCTGATGCACTGCTTGCTGAAAGCATCCCTGGTTATACTTGTATATTTCTGGTCAATCTATATATGGTTGTTCTACCTGTATTCAACCCTGTTATCTATGGGATCAGGAAAAAACAGATCCCAGACTAGGTTATAGACCTAAAGACATTTGATGATCAGCCACTTCTAGTCATGATGATATATGTATTGGGGCATATATGTGTGTGACTATATATGTGTGTATGATCCCAGACTAGGTTATAGACCCAAAGACATTTGATGATCAGCCACTTCTAGTCATGATATATGTATTGGGATATGTATGTAAATATATATACACATATATGTGTGTGATTATATATGTGTGTATGTATATATTTGTGTATTTTTTTCTTTTTTATTTCAATAGGTTTTGGGGCAACAGGTGGTGTTTGGTTATATGAATAAGTTCTTTAGTGGCGATTTTTGAGATTTTGCTGCACTCATTACCCGAGCAGTGTACACTGTACCCAATGTATAGTCTTTTATCCCTTGCCCTCTTCCCACCCTTTCACCTGAGTCCCCAAAGTCCATTGTATCACTCTTATGCCTTTGTGCCTTCATACCTTAGCTCCCACATATGAGTGAAAACATGTAAAGTTTGATTTTCCATTCCTGAGTTACTTCATTTAGAATAATAGTCTGCAATTCCATCCAGGTTGTTGCAAATACCATTATTTCTTTCCTTTTTAGGGCTGAGCATTATTCCATGGTGTATGTATATAATGCATTTTCTTCATCCACTCGATTGATGGGCATTTGGGCTGGTTCCATATTTTTTGCAATTGTAAATTGTGCTGCTATAAATATGAGTGTGCAATTATCCTTTTTTGTATAATGACTTCTTTTTCTCTGAATCGATACACAGAAGTGGGACTGCTGGATCAAACGGTACATCTACTTTTAGTTCTTTAAGGTATCTCCACGCAGTTTTCCATAATGGTTTTATTAGTTTACATTCCCACCAACAGTGTACAAGTGTTCTCTTTTTACTGTAACCACACCAACATCTATAATTTTTTTTGATTTTTTGATTATGGCCATTCTTGCAAGAGTAAGATGGTATCACGTTCTTGTTTTGATTTGCATTTCTCTGGTAATTAGTGATGTTGAGTATTTTTTCATATGCTTGTTGGCCACTTGTATATCTTCTTTTGAGAATTATCTATTCATGACCTTATCCCATTTGCTGATGGGATTGTTTTATTTCTTGC